GTAGGGCTGCCTAACTATGCCGTCTATATGTAACACACACACATTATGCCCATTGAAAGGTCTCTTGAAGCTCTTGTCCATAAAACTTATGTTTAATTATGCTATAAAATACACCAAGCAACTGTTAATTAATTTGTGCAAATATGTGAAGCTAATTTTCCAATGGCTAATTGGAAATATTTTTTAAGGTTTTATGCATCTTTAATGTATTTCAATTTGTGCTCAATGCCCATTTGAGTGTTTTAGTGTCTTACACACATTTGACTGCGTTTGCTGTTGTTGTTGCTGCTGATATTGTTGTTGTTGTTGTTGCTGTTGTTGTGTTTATAGCTTTCCTATTGGTTTTCCATGCCCCACTTTGGATATAAATCATTTGCCAAACGACCGCCCACAATTTATTTGCTTTGGCAATGTTAAAAAGGTCAATTACAACTTATTGCCGGCTTTTCAAAAACCCATCAAACGTTCGACGTCGACGCTGCCGTTACGCTCTCTTGAGCCATGGGGACGGGGTCTCGTTTCGACTGTGTCTGGTCTATGGACCATGTCCCATGTCCTATGATCGTACAATTTTGATTAGCAGCAAACGACAGGCGACGTCAACAATTTAATTGCACATTTGCATTAGAGTGGAAAGCAGAAATGCAGTCTAAACCTGGGCCTGTCAACGATGCGGGACTGCTTCATGCAACGAGGTGGTGGGGCAAACAGCTACTGCTGCTGCTGCTGCGGCTGGTGCTGCTGCTGCTGCTGCTGCTGTGGCAGCTCCTGGCAAGCGGTTGCCATTACAATTGCCAGGCGCAGGCCAGGTTTGATTTCTTAATTGTCGCTAAATGCGGGACTGCCAAACATTGTCTTGAAACGACTTTGTCGTCGTTGTCTGCAGCCGCATTATCGTCGATCATTTTGTTTGCAATGAGTTTTTGTGGTTGTTGTTTTGTTTTGGTTTTGCTGGGCACACGAAATGAATGTTTGAGCATACACAGCTGTAAAGGAATTGTCGAACGACGATCATGGTGGTAATTTCAGCAATGGGAACGGAATTGGTAACGGCAAAGGCAACGGCAACGGGAACGGGAACGGGAACCGCATGCGCAATTGTCATGCCAGCTGCCTGTTGTTGCTGCTGCTGCTGCTGCCAGCAGTAGCCGGGTTGGGGTCGTATTTTAATTGCTTCAATTTTAATTTATTTCGATATTTCTCTATTTTTCTTCTCGAACCACTCAACACTTAAGCCAAACATTTTTAGCATGCTTAGTTGAAATGTTTTCGGTTTTTATGTGTCTTATGCGCAGACAACCCTCAACAACCCTCATGTGATATGGATGGCCTTTGTCTGCATGTAATTGAGCTACCTGCATAAGTTAGTTGCTGGGCCACGCAACAATATAAGTTGCGCAGAGGGAGCGGAGAATGCAATCGTCGTCACACTGTGCCAGTGGGGTCCGTTTTTAGTGTTGATAGATGGATCGCATGCGGCAGCTTACATTTTCCATGTCAGACCCATAAACTATGCTTTAATTATGCACGCATTCGATTATTATTATTGTTTTTTTTTTTTATTTTAAATTTTCGTTTGGTTTGGTTTCGTTTTGTGCTCTCAAGTTTTAGTTCGCACCCACTCTACTTAAAATGGATGGGTTTCGGATGGCTCTCATAATACTTTCACTACTTAAAACACTAAAATAACTTATATTTGGTAATTTTTGGCTCACTTAATTTACATTTAAATATAATTTTTCGATTTGGCTTTTAATATTTTTGTGTTGCGGCTGAGACCTGCCGACAGTTTCTAATCTCTTCGGGCTGCCCGTCGTTGACATCAAAACGCAGTTTTCAAAGCAGTTTGTTAATCGCCAAACTGTCACATAAACCTTACATTTTATTTGACAAGCACATGCTTGGCATACAAAAATCCAAAAATGTCTGCAGCAAAATGCGTACAAACAAATTTCTTTTCGATAACATGCACAAATACAACTCGTATCGACGACGTCGACGCCGACAGCGACGCTAGCAGCGACAGCGTCAGCGACTTGAAAGCACAACGCGGCGTATACGCAATGTTACAAATCGCTCTCGTGGCATATTAGTTGAAATTATGACAATTTTCCTAATACAATAATTCAAAATTATTTTGTGTATGGCGGACAGCTATTGGCTCGTTATTATTAATTCAATTTGCTTTCGATTATCAGCAGCTTAGCGATAGACTTTGTTTTTTTTTATTTTTCTGTTTGGCTCTTTGAAATGTTAATGCGCATTTTGGTTTTCTGGTGAGCTAATCTTTGTGATTTGTTAGCTGGCACTGGACTTTTGTTCATTGTTGTAATTATAATAATTTTTATGCAAATTTTTAATCGATTTATTACGTCAACCAAAACAGGTTTATACCCTGTATGAAGAGGATAAGTGAGTATATTAAATGAATTGACAGATAACCTTTGAACGAGCTACTGGATATCTCTGAGTTTTTCCACATATATTCCTTGTAACTTGTTCTACCTGCATAGAGAATGCCTTTTGGGGCTTGGCATGCGTCTGGGCCATAACTTTAATTGCGTTGCCTCAGACAGGAAATGGCGCGCTGAATTCAGCGACGAAACAAAACCACATCAGCAACAAATCTGGGACTTAGAGAGTAAGATAATTTTTGGTTGGTTGGTTGGCGGATATAAAATGCCATAACTCATGTGGCGGCAAGAACAACAATTTGATATCAAAGAGCTCTTGCCTCTGGATCGCATAAATTATGAACGGCTGGCGATTGTGCAGTCCATGGCAGAGTTAGGTGAAGTTTTGGTAGAGGTGTTAGAACATTTTGGTTTTTTCGATTTTGGCTTTCGAGAATTTATGGCGCCTTAAAGAGACAGATATGCTCGGTGCCATTAGTGATTTATTGTTCGACAACAATCGATTGTGAACTCAAGCTATGTCTCTCTTCCTCTCCCTCTCCGTCTCTCGCTCTCTTTCTCTTTTTTTCACACCATCTATGTGGAGAGTTTAGCTATAGCTTGACATTGAAAACAAAAGCCAAGTGTCGCTGAAAATGGGTTGTCTGTTGCTGTTGTTGCTGCCACATTGTTGGCTGGCCAAGCGTGTGAATACTGTTTTCGTTGCAACTTTCAAAGTAAAAAGAGACGCTGCAAATTAAGTCAAGGCTGTAGAATTGCATTACTCATAAAGTCAAGCTGCTATATTGAATTTCACATCGTTGCATCGTCAAGTACATTAAATTGCAATTCAAATTGTGCACACACAAAACTGTGGGTGACTGTTTGCCGTTTACGATTCCAAGGCATTGTTTCAGAGACCCAAAATTCTTATCAAGCCCCTTTAAATAATGTAAAGAAAATGTTGGCATGAATAGGAATTCATTGATAAGCACAAAATGTACAAATACATAAGCATAAATACATTAATGAAAGTATATATATGAACTAAACAAAGAAGGGTTGAACACTTTTTATCAAATGCATGTGCGATAAGATAAACAACACTTGAATTAAGCTACCACATATTCGGAATATTAAGAAAGAAAAAATCGACATTTTGTAGAAAATTATTGCAAATTTTTTATTTTTATTTTTTTTAGAATCTACTTGATCTGAAATCTATCATTGGAACGTTAAAGAAATTCTTTTCTGTTTGCTTCAACTCAAATTTATCGTTAACCCAATCTGAGCGACTACTCTTGGTTAGGTAATTGTCTTCAATCTGGTTATTCCACGCCTTGACTACTTGGAGCGCCATTAGATTTGTTTGCATTTCGAATAGCAGCTCATTCTCTTCCAGAAACATCACTTGATTCACCTTATTCAACAGCTGTTCCAACCCCAGCTCTTCTAACAGTTTACGCGCTAATATCACCGCAGTAAGCTTCGTCGGCATTGGGCCCTGTCTCGTTCTATACAAAAGACGAGGGCTGAGTTGGAGTTGTATCACATCACTAAGAACCGGAATTGATGTCCTGCTATCAAAGCTTGGCGAGACTAGCAGTAGTGCGACGAATATTTCCGAAGCTTTCATTTCGTGACCGAAAACACAGACGTCTGAGAAACAACTAAAGTTCACCATATACTGATAAGTCTAGCTTTCGATTTTCCTTATCAGCCTTATCCTTTTGACCTTTTAAAGATTATATTTTTAATTCGAATTGATCACTGATGTATGTATTTATTTTTAGAAACACAATCGGTAATTATAATACTTAACCAAATACTAATAAAACAGGGTGAGTAGTATTTGGCTTAATCATAGATTTGAATGGCTTTATTATTATGATTGCATTGTTGACTTTCAAATAATTTTGTACTGCTTGCAGCAATAAGAAAGTTGCAGCATCACACAAAAAACACATCTTTGAATGCTTTAGCCAAGCGTAATTAAATTGGAGATACCCTATAAATTATGGTCGCTTGGCTCACTTTCATGTATAATGAACTTTTTGTTTTTCAGATATATATATTTAACAATCATTAGACTTTCCTATCTGCATACCCCTTGTTTTTTTTTACACTGAACACTGAATGGTATAGGGTATATTGTGAAATAAAATTTATATAGAAAACTAAAAAAAGTATTTCACACACAAAGTTGTTGGTGGTGTTGTTGTTGGTTTTTAGATTTGGTATAAACAAACGAAGAAGTTTCCAGCTGTGCGCGTTGATTGCCATACGACACGATGCGTTTTCAAATATCTACAACAACTTGCAACAGAGTGGTTGTTGTTGTTGTTGTGGCCACTGCTCAAATAGCGCATACGCCGCATGCTCCCTTGTCGTCGTCGCAGCTGTTGTTGTTGCTGTTGCTGTTCGTTGGTTGAACCAAACAAAAATAGCAAAGATTGTAAACATTTTTTATTTTGTTGATGGTGTGTGTGTGTGTGTGTGGGGGGGGGGGGGTTGTTGTTGTTGTGGTTGTATACAACAACTGAAAAACATTGAATTTACAATTTACAATTAATTTTCATTGTTGCGCCTTCGTTGGTTTCATTACAGATTCGAAGCGTTTCTTCCATGGATTAAGGTGCATTTCATTTTTACAGCAGGCGGCCAGTTGTGTTTAGTTGTTCGTGTTTTTTGATATCGACACATTTCTCCATTGCTGTTGTGTCTGGTTTTGCCTTGGGCGCATGTCAATCATACGCAACGTTGTGCGTTGCTCAAAGCCAATCGATTGAAGTAAAGGTGAGTTTGCATTTACTTACTTACCTATGTATAAGATACACACGCGTACACATTATTAAAATGCATTGGAAAAGTGAAATTGAAAATAAACCTGAGGGAAATTCATTGTTTTGGTTGCTTGCTTACTTTTTTTCCTGTACTTTTGTTATTGCAGTTAGCAGGCCATGAAAAATTTCATTGGCATTTTTAATGACATTAAACCTTGAACTGCAGCGGCCATTATTAACACCCGGCTACAAACCAGCCGTGTATATGAAGTGCCAAAATTGATAAGCCAAATCAGAACTCGATTAAGTACACATTATTTTTGCTCTCTCTCTCTCTCTCTCTCTCTCTCTCTCTCGCTCGCTCTCTCTCTCTCTCTCTCGCTCGCTCTCTCTTTTCTTCTCTATATCGCTGTCGTTCTTAACTAAACTGTTTTATCTGAGCTGTAACTTTTTTGACTTCTCTCACCTGCTGTCAATTTGGCTAAAAATAAATTATTACTGCCTATAGTATATACAATATGATATCATGCCGTTTCGCTTTTGCCAATTAAAAAACCAGAAAATATCTGTTGTTGTTGTTGTTGTTGCTGTAAATTATGACTAGTGATAATCACACTACGTGGCATTTTGTTGTTTTGCTTACTTTTGAGAACTGTTTGCCAGCCATGAGTTTGGTCTAGTAATTAGCTGGTTGTACGTCGCATGCGTAGCTCAAATTTCAAAACTACATGCACTTTGCACAGATACTCAGCAGATGCTTCTTGTGAAGGCTGCTCGAGCGGCTGGGTGTGAAAAGATTTATGTGGCTGGCAAGCATCTTGCCGCAGTTATCAATGCGTTGGCCCCACAGCAGCCACTGCCAGGCAGCAGCCAGGCAGCAGTCAGGCAGCAGCCACTACCTCAGTATCCACCCCATGCCAACCCGAACCACAGACAACAGCAGAGCCACCACATCCACATTCAAGGCATCTTCAGCTTTAGCTTTAGCTGCATTGGCAGCCATTCACCCGACCGATATTCCAGTTTGTTGCATTTCTGTTGGTGGCATCTTCAGGCATTTCATTGTATTGGGCTTTTATTTATGGTCTGCTCAGCTTTATTTTTATGACTCTTCGATTTATATTGATTTGTAATTCACATAAAAAAGGCCAGAGATTTTATATGCAGTTGACCTTGTCCCTGGCAAGGATCGTTTATTTGTTATTGTGGTTGTTTTTTGGTTTCTCTTTGTCACCATGTGAATTATCATAGTTACAAAATACCGAAGGTCAATGCAGGTATAGCCTAAAAACAAACTATGCAAAATGAAGCTGCCGTCAGCTAGCAGTCCGAAAAAAAAAAGCAACAGAGTCGTCGTCTCACATTACCAGCCGCGTCAATAACAAGTGCAACATGGCATTGTTGTTGTTGTGGTTGTTGTTGTTGTTGGTGTCTGCAACACGTCAAAAACGAAGCCGTGGCCCGACCAGGTGCAGCCCCTGCCCAGCCGGGTGACATAACTCGAACTATGCGACGCCGACAGCGCTGCAAATTAACATTTTTGCATACCCTAACCGAGAGTGGTATAGCTGTAACATAAAGTTGAACATTCATTTTGTCTGTCTATAAGCTAATATAGGGTATTGCCACATACTTACATGGCTCGTTTTCCCTTTTATCTTTAGGTGGCATGCCACCTACAAGTGAGCCAAATGACAGCACTGGACATGCCATAGATAAATTCAAGCCCCAAAAACCGAGAGCAAAACACTTGTGTATGCAAATATTTTACAAACTGTTGTTGGCAGAACTTGTTAGAAAATTGGCATCAACAATAAAAGCAGCAACAGGCAAAAACTGCGCACATGACAATGTGTAAAGTTATGACAGTGTTTATTGCTGTTGTCGTTGTGGCTGTTGTCGTTGCAGCTTGTTGCATAATTTAGCTTTTTGCCTGGCTTTTATGCGCACCGCAAATAGCAAAATATTTGCTTTATTAATTAGGCAACGCTGCAATTGCATGCAATGTTTATCAATTAATAATATTTGCTTATGCCATGAATATTTCATGATTTAGCAATGCGTTTCGTGGTGAGCAACTATTTAACAGCTGAGGCGATTAAGACTCATGCACTTAGCCAAATGTCAACAAATCGGCCGGTAAACAAGTCAAAAGACAAAAAAAAAAAAAAAACAAGAAAAGAAAAGAAATCATCAGCATCACGTGTGGCATGCATTTATGATTAATGCCAAAGATGCGGAAGCCGATCGAACTGTCGGTGCAGTGACATTTAAGAGGGGCTAAGGGAATGACCAGTTTGTTTTGTTATGGTTATAAATTGTTGTTTGCTCGTTGGCGATTGCGTAAATACGCGAGAGACCAAAAAGGCCATTAACCGTTTAAGGGGAACGGCCTGCGGTACCAGGAAATAACTAACTAGATCAGCAATTGCAAAAGCCGCTTCCAAGAACCAAAATAAAAAGAAACATCATTGTAAAATCTACAAGGCAGCAAATTGAATTTCAATTAAAATGTGCCAGTGTGTGTGCGCTTTGTGCTTGTGTGGGTGGATTGGGCATTTGTCGACATACCTGTGAACATATATGGGTCAGAGTTAGTTATTAGCGGTCGGCCTATGCCATGACCATGCACTTTATGGGAATTTTTCAATGAAAATTTAGGCAAAGGCCGCTCTGCTATTTGCTGATTAAAGGCGCTTTGCCTTAATGCTGAGGCTTTCACCCGGCATGTGGGTCACCTTTCGCCAGCCAGTATTCCCATTCTGGCAACGGCAACATCACACACAGTTCGTAAGAGTAATGGATGAAAGAGCCCAGTGCTCCTAATGAACTTGTTCTTGCAGCCATTTGGTGGCAAAGTTTCCCCAACTTGTTTTTGGGTGTAGGTGTTTGACCCTCAGCTAACGATTTGTGTTGTTGTTTATTTGGAACTTTGAATTATGTAAATTTTGTTCGATTCCAAAATTCTTATTCAATTAGCTATTTTTGGGGCTTTTTTTTGTGAATCTTTTGCCGCAGCTCAATCAATACGAATTTAAATACATTAATCAATTCCCATTTCAAACATTTGCTTTATTTTTGTTATTCTGTTCGACTTGGGTCGCAAAAAAAAAGAACAACAACAACAACAATATTGAAAGAAAACAGCGACAATTTAATTATAACAACAAACAGCAGCGGCAACAACGACGGCTACACGAGTGTATCTGAAATTGATATCGTGACTTTGTGTAATTTGTAATTTACGATGAGATCACTTCCTCCAACAATGTATCAACTTAGACTCGGCCAGCCATCGTTTGTCGCCCTCTCTCTCTCCCTCTCTCTCTCTTTCTATCTCTATTTCCATTTCTATTCTCTTTTTGTCCCATGAGCGTGCCCCCAAACATACGTCAATTCGTCGCCGAGGCGCAACAGAGCGGATCGTAGCGGAGATGTTTTGGTATCTGGCTTTGTGCCTGTGTGACAAGATAAGCCTCGTAGTTGTTGTCGACGCTGCCTGATCCATAGTCCAAGCTACAGATCTGTTGCAATTCACTGTTTCAGATTCAGTTTGAGTTGCAAGTTTCTGTTTCTGTTGCTGTTGCTGTTTTTGGCTTGTGCCTGTTTTTCCATTGCAGTTGCAGCTAACTGACAACAGCGTCCTGCACATCAGCATCTTTCTATCTCAGCCAGCATCAATGGCAAAACGGCGCAAAAAGTTCAAGTGGCCCGAGACAACGCCAAATTTGCATTCGTATTCGCATTCACATTCACATTCACAATCGCTCTCGTATATGTGTATTCGGCATCGGAATCGCATCCAAAAAGCCATTGGCATTGGCATAGGATTTGGCTGGAGCCCACAGAGTCAGTCAGACAGTCAGTCGATGGCTCTTGGTTGTTGCCCGTTGTTGTTGGCTTGGCTCTTGTCTTTTCAAATCGTATAAATTAGATTTGGAATTCGGCTTTTGCTGCTCACTAATAAATTCAGAATGCGCAATTGAAATGAAAGCAGCAGGCGCATAAAATGTAAATCAAATGATTTTCTTCTGATTGGACATGCATTTGAAATCGCTCAGTTCTCAGGTCTTGCTCATTTGGCCAGAATGTGAATCTGCAATTGCATTTGCAATCAAACAAATTGTGTGGGGGCTTATTCTCTCATTTGGCCAATTATTGGAGTGAGAGCTACTTGGATTCAAGTGTCACTGAAAAAGTGTAGTAATCTTAAAACTATTCAAAGTATTCCTATCTATTAAAATGAAATTAAAGATGAAATAAGTAATACGTATTTACTATTTGTAGTTTCCATTAAAACTGCATCTAATTGTTACTAATGAGTAGTAAAAAAGTACTACAGATATCTTACATAATTTACATGTATATATAATTGGGGTTATCATTCTAGAGAGTTATGACTGTGAACAGTTGTTGCTATATTCTGCTATTTTGTACAGTACTACAGTATACTATATTAGCATCTACATGAATGTATATCGTATATTTCTATTCGCATTCTAAGCGTATATTTCAAAGCTCGAATATCTAGATTCAAGGTAATTTTAATCTACGCCTGACCCATTTGCGCTTGAGCTGTGGCTTGAAATTTGCCCAGTCCTTGACCTTAGCATTAATTGTGGTAGACTAACTCACGTCCACCTTTTATGGCTACCGCCTTTAAAATCTATTATTATATTGTTAAAGTGATCTCATTAAGTTTGTAACAAGCGCTTTGCGGCGCTCTTTTATCTCAGTTTGAACGTAGTTTGGTTTAATGGGCGGTTTTTTTTTTTTAACTCATCAAAGTTGAGCAAATGTACAAAAATGTTTATCGTTTCTGTGTTTATTTAGCTCTTCTTTTGGCAAACAGTGAAAAAGTTGTTTAATTAGTTGCAAGCCCACGCCCGAGATTCTCGATTATGTTGCAATATCAAGTGATTGCCTCACTGGCCAGAGATAGTCGGCTTTATAGCTTTATATTACGGCTGCATCGAACACAGTGTGTGACAGATTTAAAAGTGTCAGCAGCAT